CGGATTCCATGCCTTGTCCGTGAGTCACGCCACCCTGCCCTTCATGGCCTCCCTGAATCCAGCACCTCCAAGAATGCCAATTCATCCAACTGGGCAAAGGCAAGGAATTTAGAAAGTGAACTTACATAGGAAGTGGGGATTACCAACACGGATGGCTGACAGCGTGGGGTGAACCTCCTCCGCTCCAACGAGGAAGGACAACAGAGGGCAGAGGGGAATGTGGAGACCAGAGGGACAGTAGGAAATAAGCATATAGGGGTCCTATGTGGTCCTATATATATAACGCAGCACGTTTATAAACAAAAATAATCATTGTTCAAAACTGTTTGGTGGGGGGGGGATTGTTTTGTTTTGTTTTCTCTCCAATCTCATGTAGTTCAGAGCCAGGCAAAAAAAAAAACAAGTTACTCCTCTCTATCTCCTTTCTCACAAACTTGGTTCAGACCAAAAAGAAAAAAAATTAAAACGCTGAAACAAGGTCTTTTTCCCCCTCTGGATGAACTGTTTTACAATAAGCTACCTGCTGGGGTCAGGAAACCTGAGCTCAAGAGCTTTCTGCTCACACAAAAACGCACTACGAGGAGGATTCATACAGAAGAGCTTGTGTGTAGAGATGGTCACCCCCCCACACACACACACACACAACCCCTTTGTATCTGTTCCAGCTTTTCTATGAAACCATGTCTCTCCTCTGCTTCATCTTCTCCCCTCCTTCCTCCTCACCTCCCCAGTGCTACCAGCTCTGCGGGAGGAGCATGGCATCCAGCTGGAGCTAACCATCCACCATGTCTACACTCTGAGGGGAAGTCAGAAGGTGAGGGTGTGTTGGGCGCGGAGGGGAACACTCCAGTGGACAAAGGAAGGGTAGGGAAGAGCTGCTCCCTGGGTCCCAATAGGGAGCTTATTTTCTTTCCTATTAGGTGTGTGATGCTCAAAAGGCAGGCGAATGGTCAAAATCAAAATAAATAGCCAACGGAAATAGGCGCCCCTCCCTGGGAATGGTAATTGCACAGGATGAAAGTTTATCCAAACACATGAGAAAAATGGTGCGTGTTGGAGGAC